CACACACAGACACACAGGCAGACCAGCCAAAACAATACCTCCATTTTCATGGAGGTAAACATAGATGATCAAGCAAGCTCGACTCACTGAGAGTGAGGACTCAATCAACCAATACTATAGAAGCTGTGGTCAGCTCAGGGACATTCCTCACCCAATTCAAAGCAACTCCTAAGCATGACTTTCAAAATTGCTACTTTGATATTCACCAATAGTTTGATATCAACTCTTCATAAATAAACCATTACTAAATTGCTTTTTGAGACGCAGCTTCGTGGCATCTATCACCTTTTCCTTCTTTGCATTGTTCAACACTATAAGACGTCATCTTTGACTTTTTGAATAAATAATGCTGTGATTAGTCCGGAAGTGGAGAAGTTTTCCGCAACCCCACAGGCACGCCACGTGGTCATAACTACTGTCGATGAACCGCTAGAAACGAATTCGAAGTTCTAAACTGCGAAATAAAAGCAAAGTCAAAACTGCAAAAGAAGACCACTTAGGGCACGAATAAAACATGGTCTATATGAACAGGTGGTTACTATAGACAGGATCATTGATGCTTGTGATAATGAGACAAAAATATCTAATGGACCACCGAAATCTTTATCAACTAGAGTTCAACGATCTCATACCTTCGCCAAGTGATGTTAATCTTTATGCCTGACAAAGTAAAGATTATTCCTCCTGATTATGCAAATAGGATTATGCAATATAATTCATTTGCATGAATTATATCAGTTGATCATATTCTCCACCAAAAGACAGCCTTATGGTTCCGGGTCGGAGTTTAATTCTGACCAGGGTTCCAAATAGTGCGCAGTAAATCGCCGGATCTGCGAGGTTGTCACGCTAGGTTTGGCTCCCCATAGCTCGGCGATCGCTGTAGATTTTCAACTAGGTTTTGAATTGATCAAAAAGCCTTGGGATTGTAGTGTTTTTCGGCGCGGTGAAGTTGGACGGCCAGCGAAGCGTTTTTGGTATTAGTCCGCGAGCAAGGGTGATGCGGTTTTCGCCTGATGACCCAAATAGCTGCGTTCTATGTGGAATTTCTAGGGGTTCGCGTCACCGGATTTTGCGAAAAACTTATCGCAACAACCTATATTTTTTTTCTGTTTTTCAGAAACAGAAAGTAGTAAGCTATTTCAGCATATAAGCCGTTAGCCTGGGAAAATTCGTTTTTTCCAAGCAGGTCCGTTGAAAAAACTGCAAAAAAACTACATTTTTCGTATCCAAAATTTACGTTTAACTACAGTTTCTACCCAAATTATAGAGTCGACGGACAATAACCAAAATTGTATCGGAAGCCGGCTGGAAACCTCCGTTGACTGATGTAATGAGATTTCCCGGCGTACTTTTTTGGCGGAGTTATAGCCCTTCGGTCTGAGGGTGTCCGCCGGATCCAAAATCGTGAAAAAAACTCCGGTCCGAGACCTTAACTTAACAAAGGAAGCCAGTATATCATTTCCTCATAAATTATGCAAATGAGGTCCTCATTTGAATAAGTTATGTTTAATGATGTTCACCCTTACTTAACTTTCAAATACCCCAAGTATGAAATTCCAGGCAGTTACCATTATGGAATTATAATATTTCTCATTAATTATGCAAATTACGTGTTAATTTACATAACCAATATCTGCCTGTGTTTCTCTTGTTCTCACTTGATATATCACAAGCTTAAATAGTCCTATAATGTAATGCAGCTGATTCATAGAATTTCCTCATAAATTATGCAAATTATATCCAGATTTGCATAATTGTTGCATAATTATGTCAAGCGTCACGTAAGCTACCTACATATCAAAAATCATGACGATCCGTCAACCGGTTCTTGAGTTATCCTCTTTTGAATATGTGTAAAGAAATGCCCCTGCACTTCCAGAGCAAGCCGCTAGGAGGCCCAAACCTACGTCACTTCTTCCCAAGCATGAGAGCTAACTACCATCTAAATTTCGTCACCCCAGCATGTCTAGATCATGAGATATCAAAACCGGAAGTTCCGCTGCAGTACCACAACAAGCCGCCAGGGGGTCCAAAATCTAATCATTTTGAGGTCTCATCAGGACCTACCCACCTACCAAGTATGAAGACAATCCATTTAAGCCTTCTTGAGTTATTGTGGTCACAGACAGACAGACACACGAACGCCTCTGAAAACATAACCTTCTTGGCGAAGGTAATAATTCTAAAATACTATGGAGCAGTAGCACACAAGCTTACTATTGATAATTCTAATGATTATCATGCACGACTGACACCAACTACGTTATTATTAACCTGCTATGACATATATATGATAGGTATGACGCATAAGGGACTAATCAATCTGATCCATGAATGAGAGGACGACCTTATCTCTTTGTCTTGCGTCATTCTGACGTGTTTAATCATGTTGTAGTGATCATATCTTAATCTTCAAGCAGATTTTTCGGTACCAAAGCCGTAACCAACCGGCAAGAGATCACTAGTATCCAACAGACGAGACACTATCCAACTTGCCACGCTGTTGGATACTGTCTTGTCGGTCGGTCTCCATTGCCACCGAGATCTTTTTTAAGATTAATATTATCCGTGGTTATGTGGAAGAACGGGTAATCTGGACTTAATGGTGTTTGATTTTAGTGATAAATATTAAATAACAAAATAACGATGTATCTGCAGCTGATCTAGCCCCTCCATTGAAACAATTTTATGTTCTTGTGTATATAGATCTATACTATAGACTAGACACTTTTTACCTCTTTACATGGTGTATTTCAATAGAGATTGTTACAAATGTACTATGTTGCAATCATTCTGAGCTCTTGGCATTTGCTGATTGCAATATAAAATATGGAATGACCATGGTATCAACAACCCCCTCCCCCTTTGGCAAGAGCTTCCCAATCCCGTTCACAAGTCACGTGCTTCTGAACCCGAACCCTTTATTGGCAGCCTCCTCTCTGTTGTGTTTTGTTCAGTAAACCCCCGCAGCTGCTAACTAGGCCAGGTTATTCAACTCTCGTCACTCTGTCACAATTTGTGTCCGGCAAGTCGTCCGCGTTTTACATCACAATACAAACATGGACATTATCGGAAGTCCTTGGGACCGAACATGTCAGGAAGACGTTGGATCTCCATGGAAAAGGGGAAAGCTCGTTGGATCTAACGGTTCTTAAGATCCACAAATCACTGTTGAATCTTTCATATACTAAGTAGCTTCCACAAAAGTGTTGAAGAAACTAAAACGATTTGTCATTTATGGCCCCCGAGGGGCATATCTGTCACTTGTGTCTGTGTTTTATTACATTCAGGTCGTTTGAAGTTGTTCTTCCCTCATGATCAATAAGTAACATTTAGTTTAAACCTCATTTGGGGCATCTACCTAATGTGGTGGGATATGCACTCCGTTTGTCACAGAACCCTGCCATCGTGAATTGGGATGCTACTGCTTTGTACGATTTTGATGTACAATCTTCAAACAGGCTGTAACAGACTCAACCACCAACAAGGATCTAAGACAGAATTTCCAGCAACAAAACAGCTGAATTTTGCATGCAAGACGTGTGCACGGATATTCAAAGACTGCCCTCAGTTTGCGATCGTGTGTAGCCAGGCCCCCAATAAAAACCTTCTGACTTCTCGACACTTCACACGTCCTTCCAAACCTAAGCTGCTCCAGATCAGGAAGACGTCAGACAATTGATAAGATCTGAGCCCAAGGCGGATCCAGGTGTTCTTATTTCTGTCTAGTGATCTGCTCCACTGGGCACTGCGGGTCATTGACCCATCAGACTGAACAGACTCCTGGTCTGGATGGGTCTAGCAATAGCATGGTAGTCAGACCACCGTAAGCTCACTATTATCTCTTCGGTACTGAGAGTGTTGCCCTCCCATCCAGGTCCAGCAGCACACGCACGTCCGATCCAATTACTTGGCCTACGAAACTGTAATCAGAAAGGCCGGCTGGAAAGATAGGCTGTCAGAAAGAAAGGCCTGTTCTCAGTAGGACTGTAAAAACACTCCTCAGTTGATCCGTAGAGAATGGTTACCACGATAGGATGGGTGATATCGACGATTTCTGTCTATTAAGTATTACATGTATCAGCAAATGCGGGTGTAAAAGGAGCAGGGCTATGCATGTCTTTCATCATTTTTGTGTCAATGAAGATTTATACACTACATGGTTCCCATGGCATCGACGCAATCGATTCCGGTCTGACCGGTATATTTTGGTCTTCAAATAAAGCTAGCCTGACTACAGACAACGTCTCGAATAACGACGGGAAATAGAGAAGCGATTGAATCCTTAGCCTAGAAGCTGTGCGCTGAAGATTACGGTAGCTATAGATTTTCATCACACGGAAGGGATTACCAACAAAGTCTAATAAGGACTGAATTGCAACAATGAAAGAAAATTCAGGTACGATTAAATTCACCCCCACCCCTTCCCAACAAAGGTTATCGGTACTACTACGGCAGAGCCACCACCTCAATCCACATCAAGAGACAGACTCTCACCTAGCCCCCCTCCTGATACTCGTGCGCGACCTGCACAGTTTCGTGGTTGGTGCTGAAGTAGCAAGGCTGTACATGCGTTTGGTCGATTGCCTTCGTCGATTAAGACTTTATTTGCGTGTAATCTGTTTAAATTGTGTCCAATCCCCACATGGTGTTAGTTATGCAATTCCCTGAACACCATCGCCCCCTGTCAGACCGGTGTAGCATGTATTGGCTTGCAAATCAGTGTCTCTGTCGTAAAAAATTCAGTCATAATTCCAAAAGACCATTTTACTTAGAAACGAGCAAGATTCCGACTTATGGTAACCAAATTTCCCATCCCTCCTACAGCTCTACCGCATTAAAATACTATCACTAGCCTCTACCAGACTTCAGAAGCGGAAAAGTTAGCCAATTTCTCAATTTCTAATCTTTCCAGCCGCTTCTGAAGTCCGACAGAGGCTTTCAAAATACCTACGAACACAATAAAACTCCGGAGATGACCAGATCCTCACCTCATTGTGCTCGTACTTGATGAGCCGGAGCCGCTCCCTGGAGGCGTCGATCTGCCCGTTGATGTCATCGATGATGCCGCGAAGTTCGTTATACTCCTGAAATGGGAGGAAACAACAGAGGATTCGTAAACGGGTAATAAAACCTGATCACTAGGTTGTACTTAATTCAGAAGCTTCTTGGTAGGGCCACGACCGAAGGATGGTAGTAAAACATGGGACTATGAATTAGCCGTTGTCTCCAAAAAGAAGACACCCCCTGTAATGTATTACGACATGGAAACAACATTAGGTAGACTAGTATAGACTAGTCATATATACCTTTTTTGCGTCATAGTTCCCCTGCCATTAGCCTTGGGGCTTGCGTTTGCAAGTAAAGTTCAAAGACCAATAGTTGATCAGCATTCTGAAGGCGTACGAGGCAGCCATGTAACTATTACAATGTACAATGGTTGAGTTTCTTGATTTCTCTTTTTTGTCTGAGTCCAATGTATGTTCCGTCTACAATCTACAATGCCGTTTGTGTACCAATAAAACCCCCCTGCCAGGGGTGCCCAGAATACCTTACGAGGATCATCATGTTGATAGCCTTAAAATTGCTCCATTAACCATCAAGGCCGTGTGTACATGTCAACAGCCCTCAGGCACGGACTGGAACGTTTCTGTACTTTGTATTTTCGCCATTGGGTGGCTCATGTGATTATGCATGGTGAGGATGTCGACCCCACTTTATTTAGGATATGAAGTCTTACTATACTAATATAATGCATTAAAACAACCAGGGATGCCACTCATCGATACCAAGGCCATTGTTTAGTACAACCGATGATGTGAGACTTTCTTAGTGTTGCCACAGCTTAATTTTCTGGTAACTGTTACAATGAACAAATTACGTACTTGCAATAAATCAGTTGTGTAGTAACTTAAAGTGAAGTTGTCGTAGAAATTTTACACGATTTTGATACAGTAGCTGTCTAAGACATTTGAGATCATTTGACACTTTCCTCGTGTTGACACGGTTGGCATGTCACTGTTGTTGCCCCGTTGCTAGAACTCCAGAAAGGTTACCATTGTTGACAGAAAGCTGATACTATCTGCCTGACTCATACTTGGCAAGTTTTGTGGTGATATTAAACAAGGGCGTCTCCTGACATGTACGGACGGTACCGTGACGGTGCGGGGGAGGCGAACTAGCCGAGTTCTCGGGAAAAGGACTGACATGTTTACGGGTGGGGCGGCAGATATCCTGCCTATTCAGCCACCTGGCCGGCTGAGATGTGAGTAGAATATGGAATTATCGACTCGACACGAGGAATAGTCGAGTCGTTCATGCCCTTTCTTGTGCCTGTTGAAATGACGAGAATACACATTTCATGTACTTGTAAGTCACGATTACACAATTCTTTCACCTCAGTTGTGTTATGTTTATGATGCCCATATTCTGTTGAGACCGATAATCCGTATAAGCTATTATAACTATGTAGCATCCTCGTTTAAGCAGCTTTTGTTACTCTTGTCACTGACGTGGATTAGAGATTCAAAAGTTTCAGAAAATGTTTAATGGTGGCTTTGGTAGCTTTTATTTGACATTTCCCTAACGTTAGTCCTGTATAATCTCAACAAGCACACGTTCGTCAGATGCATGGAAGCATTTATCGCAAAAGGACCTGCATATTAATGTGACCTTGCGGTCTGTTTACCGCCATTTTGTTCTCCTCACCGCCGAGAGGCTTTTCTTTAGAACACTGTCCCCATGGCAACAAAACGTGCAGACGACAATGGTGTTTTCTCGTCAGGTTTGTTCTCTGTGAAACTCGGAGGGGACAGGAAGGTTTTTGACGCAGATGTGGGGATAAAAAATGTAAATGTTCTGTGGAAATTCAAAGAAAAACTGCGTTACTGTGAAAGAGGAGTGAGAGACAAAATAGTTGATTTGTCATGAAAGTCAACACAAGGCATTTGAGGCCAGGGATGAATACAAAAGAAAGGAAAGGAGAGGTCAAGGATACGTCCAGGGGTTTGCAGTGGGATGGGCATGCTGTCATGTGACAGTAATATGAACAGACGCACTGGGGGTCAAAGTGCACCACGTTCTGGAAAAACAGGTTCTGAGTCGGGTCTCTACTGACGTCTGTACGGGTCAAACAGTTTACAGATCCAGACATGAAAACGCGATTTCTTATGCATGAATTCACAACGAGAACTTATCTTCGATATCTGTATTCCTCTTGACAATTAACGACAGATAAAGGGGGATTAATTAACCACATTTCAGTATGTTAATGCATATTTGTTACAATGTAGCAATTCATTTGATGATTGTTTCTAACAATGGCGGACTGTCCCAGGCCTTCCGTTACGCCCAGGGGCAGGTTATCTGACAGGCAGTTTTCCCGCGCGAAATGACAGACGACAATTATAGTCACGCTGAGGAAAATACAGAGAACACTGACTTCTAAGTGGTTTAGGCCGACAAAAGTCACACCTCATGTAGGAGAATCTATTAGTCAGGCTTTTACTTCTAACAGCAATTCCTGTTAGTTAGGGAGTTAGTTGAAAGGCGCCGAAAGGAACTGTGTACTGAGTATTTTCCATGTTTTGGACAAGATAAAAATTACATAATTGTGAACCAGGAAGGTCTGATTATACCATAACTTCTATGCCAGGTAGACGCACGTAATCATTCATACAGAGAACATGTTCAAGACAATGTTTGTAAGACTACGAAATGATGATTTGCATGGGGAGAATTTTCAGTGCTCTTGCATCTTATTTTGTCGTCAACAGTTACAACGTGTGGCACGCCCCCTTCCTATGCACTGGTCAGTGTGTCATGTTTCCTACCTTTAACCACATCCGTAGTACCTTATTTTTCCAAATTGTTCCCCCACACCCATTGCATACTTCTACGCCCACTTCTTACGCTGTTCCCCTTCATATTTTTTCACATTTCTTAACTATTGTCGTTAAATTTTACGAGTTTTTTTTGGGGGGGGGGCAATAGGATAAGACATAATCTATTCGGAAAAATGTGACTATCGACAAACAAAAGTTTGGCACAGCTACTAAGAAATAATAAGATAATTAGGTTTGACACCTGGTTCACCTATTTCATCAGAAACGCATGGGAATCATGTGTCTGTTGGCAGCAGCACCAAACGTTATCTATAACTAATCCGGGGGAATATTTGGCCGGCCACACGACGGGTTAGGTTGCGTTGACATCACTTAGATATTAATGGTGTTCAGTACAAAGTACTCTGATCTCAAACTTGATATTTTCTGCCAGACTTCAGAGAAACCTGTTGGAACCAGTGGGCGGGTTTCAAGGTTCCATTGCCCCTGACTGTTCAGAGCTATATTATAATTTTGAACAGTTTGCCGACACAATATGTATGAGTTGTACAATGATTCCTATCCCATACACACATACTATATCCTTTGTAATGTAGCTATAGATTAAACTCGTAGTATGCTTGTTGTTTGCTGTGTGATAAAGCGTATATATTAAAAACTTTTACACGATGTCACAAACATCAAAAGTCATTCGAAGTAGACCAATTGCAATGTTTAGGACACACATGTGCATCCCGAGTCATTAGAACCAAACCCACCACGGAATTACTAACCGTTTTCTAACGTAATCATCTCCATGACGCAGGTACTGTCCTCAGTCTGTTGTTAATAGTAGGGACGGGCACATGTTCGCACGCGATAGTGGCGTTCAATTGTCTATTTCTGGTCTGTACGGAGGGGATCTCATTTTATCTTTGAAGTTGGAGTGTGATGTTGAAATTCTCTACTCTCTCTTTTTATGATTGCCACCTCAAGCAAACTGAATTTCTCTTGAATATTTACGTTTTTAGCTGAAGAAATTCTGTGCACATTTTTTCAGATCTAGAGTCGAATCTATAGCACAATCTATATAAGTCCGCTTTGAATATCAGCCTTACATCATGCCTACTAACCGAAGTTCACGAGAAAATATACCCCTTCGTCTTGTTTTATTTAGAAAGTTTTCTGTAAACCCGTTAAAGCAACTGACCCGTGGAAAATGTACGAAGAGGAAAACTGAAGGACATTTTATGGTTATTTTACACTAATGGCAATAATCAGCAGCGCTTGGGATGGTTCAGTCCGGTTGGTTTGGACAAACGGAGTCGGATGTTAGTTGGTGCGCGACTTACAGGTCACTGGTTAGAACTGGTTAGAACCGTTCAACTCATCTGTGAAGAACCGAGGGGGAGGGCGAACCGACGGAAGGTCGCCTGTCCACTAGACGGCAATCGCTGAGCGACCGTACAGCGACTAAAGTTTGATTTGTGTGACCTATTTGTGTGACAAATGACAGAAAATTAGCCAGTCTTCAATGAAATTCTCTGATTGATCCACGGTTATTTACTTCACTACAAGGATTATTCTATCAGTGGTTTGATTACAACAAATTACAGCATGTATACTTTCCTTGACCATTCGGTTGGCATTTCTTTAACATTGACTAACGCGATTCCTACTACGTTTCCCCATGAAACACTGTCAGGACAATGCGACATCGTCACATCTGTTTTCTTTGATAATCAGTCACAGGATAAGAACATAATGTCAGAACTACCACACACCCACTCCTTACATGGTTGGGCGGACAACTGCTCAAGACTCATTGTATTCTTCTCTTCTTAGAAAAATCTTTAGTGCGGGTAGCTAAGACGCCGCTGTTGTCTCCAAGACACGCCGAGGAACGTCGTTTTAACGGTTGTGTTTTCTCAGTCCACGGAGATGCGCATAATGAGTTGTTACTTCTAACCCACTGGGTAACCCGATTGTCTGCTGACACAAAGTCAACCGAACAATGACGGTACGCTTCGCTACACACAGTTTTGCAACAAACACGGTCGCAACAACTTTCCTCGCGTGGTCACAATTCGCAGAAGAGGTTTTTAAGTGCCGGTTGTTGCTTCCGTAACCTCCCCAGATGAATGTAGGGCACGTATTGTTCCGAGAGAACAATGGCAGAAGAAGATAAGGGGTCGTCTCATCCTACAAGTGTCCCTGCACCAAATCACAATCCTTCTTACAGTTCCTTATGGGTGGAGGTTCTTCCACATTTACTGCCACAGTTCGCGGGTTGATGTAGGGATGTCGCTTTGAGGTTTGTAAAGAGGCCGCGTGGGGAACAATTGTCGGGTCAGGGGTTTCCATCTATAATCCGGACGCCAGAGGCAGCTTTTTAAGTCAGCCCTGTTGTCACAAACACACACAGAATGACTTCTGCCTCTGGCCATGACTCATTTTCCCATGCGGGCCCCACGCCTGCTCTCAAAGCAGAGGTTAACTGAGAACATTATAACCTTCTAGTTCTATAAACTGTTTTCTGACAGCCGTCATAATAGTGTCTTGCCTATCGGCTGTCTTGCCGGCTGGGTACAACTTTTCCAACGAGATCTGCTTGGAGCCTGCCCACGCCGTCCTCTGGCGGGAACTACACACCTCCCCCCAGACCTACATAACCCCGTACAGTCGTGTGGTAACGTTAGAGATGGAGGTCTGTACTTACCGCCTGGACTTTCCTGAAGGTCTCCTCTGCAGCATACCGGGCCTGCCTCTCCCCGTCCACCCTGATGAAAGACGTAATGACAATGTTGGGTGTTTTCTGGGACGTCATGTTTCAGTACGTATCGTTACAGTTATGACAACAGGGACGTCAGCACCGCATCACGCGCGCCTCCGCCGGCAGGTAACGCGTCGCCGTGCCGCACACCTGGTCTGGTCCCGCCGGTGGGACACAAACTTTCCCCGGACTGACTCCCCCTGCCGCCCGCCCGCTGCCGAGTCCTGACACGCCGCGCAACCAGCCAGGCTGGGAAAAACGCCCGCAGGTTTTCTCCGCGCTCGATCGGAGTTGACCCCTGGCTATAATCGGCGGGTTCGGTCCGCCATGATGATTTAATGCAGGTGAAAGTGGGGAGTCTTTATTCCCCGGCTGGCCGGACCATCCGTCTTCTGGTGGGCGGGGCCAGGATGCGCGCAGTCGCTCATGGGAAACCTATAGCCTCGTCAGCAGGCTCTACGAGTGAGCCTATCATAATGCGCCTTTTCCTATGGAATATCAGTTCTATTTGTAGCCGGATTCTACCCTGGCTAGGGACAAAACCTCAAGTACAAATAGAAGTGATAAGCCATAAGAAAAGAAAACATTATAAAAACTGTCACAAAGAAGTCCCAGTTAGTTGTGCTAGCCTGCTGAGGAGGCTGTATGATCCACCACCACAAGACCCGTGCACACAATATACAGTCATGAGAGGACTGGCTAATAGGGAGGGACACGCGGAGTATCTATTAAACCTTATCTGTACGGAAATGAAACATAGTGTACCACACGTTAGTACCACAGCGGTTACACGTAGTGGGCTGTCGTAGTGCTATTTTGGTCCTTAAAAGATGTCAACAGATCTTACGACGTAACAGGAACAGTTTGGACCCCCCCCCCCCAACGACAGGGAAAACTTTGCAGATGAAGTTTTCATAAACAAGTCTCGAAAAATACGGGTACAATTAGGCTTATAAGTTATAGCAGTTCAAGGAGACAATTCCAGTCATGATCAGTGGGTCTAAGATTCTAAATGTTCGAACCTATAAGCCTTCGAGTCTACAAGTCTTTTGGTAGATTCACTAGAAAGTAGCTATACATAATCTTGTATGTGGAAACGTTGGCGTATGTCGCCGATAATATTTTGTAGACATAAGTATATGATAGATAAGTCGGCTTGTAGTATTGTTATTTAATAGTTTTTGCCATATATTGTACCCTGTACGGACTTCGAGCGGCAAAGTTCTCACGAGTGGGAACACAAGTTTTCCCATGCACAGAGCCTGCCATGTTGTGTAGCGTCAGTAGTAATCCAGACATGTCTATATGATGAGATCACCACCTCCTGCTCACCTGCACAGGTACGACAACAGCTCACCTGGACAGGTAGATAACACCCTCATTTTCTGCCGTTTCGCCCCGGGCGAACATTAAGTCAGCTTTGTGTTCCCGCGTCTATTGTGACGCGAACTTGGCGGGAGCGTCTGTTTCTGCTTTTATGGGGCTGGAGTTCACCGACTCAGGCACATTAATATTCATACAGACGTGAAGAAATGTATAATGCATGCACGAGAACAAAGACAAACTATATTTCTCAGTTTATCATATCTTATATCACAAGTTGCCATCTAAACATATATCCAAGGACGCCCAATCAGCTACAGATATTACGTACAAAGAGTCTTGAGTGTGTTTTTCGTGTGTTTATCTTCCCGCAATGTTATCTAGTGACGATTGACGATTCACAGAGTGTATGTGGCCATGGTTTCTTCTAACATATTCGCGCCTTCAGTTGAATTGAATTTATCGCTTTATGTGGAGGATTCCTGTATCCTATTTCATGTTTATACAGTATAGCCAATATAATAGATTCCAAAACACATAATTTGATTTATCCACTCGTTTGCTTGTAAGTAAACTTGTAGACCTTGGGAAAGTCGCTGTATTTTTGTTTGTCACTGATTTTCTTATTTAAGTGTTTGAGGAAGTTACATGGTTAATGAGGCTTACAATTCTCGTTTTCGGCTTAGATAAAGACCCACCCAGGAGATAGTTTTTACAGGTTACTAGTATGTTGAGGATATTTACCTGCCTCGTGTTGCACAGTTAGAACTACCAATGGAAGGCTGACATTTGAAGTGTTCTAGTTTTCATGTGTATTTCGTAACCAACCATGTAATGGCAAAAGGCAAACCATATGGGCAACATAAGTGAAATAGACTCGGACGTTTTGTGCCAGTTGAATATGATTGATTGCAAAACCTGTTCAATACCATGTCAGTGGTGATGATCATGATGATGATGACCATATCTTCGTGATGATGCACCAATATGGCATTTATCTACAAACACTGTTGATTAACACGGGTATTAATTGATTAATTTTCCAACTGGATTTATAGATTACCAGAACTCCGTAAGTAATTACCATTGAGCTCCCGGTGCCCCCCACCCCACCCCGGGCGATCTCATGTACCTTTCGGCGGTTCTACAGACTCCAACATGGCGGCACTCTCGTGTCTACCAACGTGCTTCATGTTTCTAGATCATGAATAGCCAGAGGCTGTTATAATCATAATCAATCCAATTATTTTCTATCCAAGTCTTCTAGGATATCTATACAACCACGCATAAATATCTATTTATGTACTGGTGATTTACTCACACAAATGTATATATTTTAGGTGATACAATGGCATTCTATGACACTACAGTTTTAAGTACTGGTTTCCACAATCGCAACACCTACATAATTTTTACACTAGAAAGCTGAGAATATGGGAAAGCCAAGATCATTTGTTACACAGCTGCAGAATCTATGTAGATCAGGTCACTATACTGTCTCATCTAGATCAGCGTGTTACACTAGTACTATAACACCGAGATCAGGTTGCTACATGTGAAAGCCAAAGTCATCTGCTACATAGAATCTATAGAGATCATGTCGCTATATTGAGATTAGATTGCTACAGAGTAACCAGATCATTTATAATAGATGACTTCAGTCTATCCGTGATAAGGTCAAAAAACCTCTGCACCCCGCCACACAGAACGGCTATGCTTGCATCTTTGCACACAAAAGTCACAAAATAATAGTCAATATGCAAATTGATAAAAATATATTTGTGATCCGTTTCATTCAGATATTTTTCTGTTTGACGTTTTGCCGTTGCTAATCACAACTAACTTATAAATTAAAGATTAATTTCTCTAAGCGCATGAAGAAGGATGGAGCTAAGTTGGGGCAACTAAACGTAACAATTGTGATTGGGTAGGCAAGATCAACTTCAGGTTTTCGGATTAACTTACTCGTGTTTCATTACACCTTATCTTCACATCTGCATCTGATAAAGCCAGAGGGAGACGTTGCTAAGGTGGGTAAGGTGCAGAAATTCCGTCTGTTTCACCTTCTATTCCATATACACGAACTATCTTACACAATCTCTTTCCTTGCTCTTGGTGAAATATCATTAAATGGGCAGTCTTTTTCTAATGGCTGTGAATGAGTAAATATTATACAAATTTCTTGATATGGAATTACTCATAGAAAATATACAGTTATTTGACACAGTTATTTGTCTCATTTTTTAGTTTTCTTTGCGATCCGGTAATGCGTCCAGGTAAGAAAAACAAGATGGCGGCGAAACTCGCGCCGCGGCACCTCGTGCCCGGACAGTGGTGTCATGTTACAGCGTGTGACGTAACAAGGCCGAACATGTCTGAACTGACGTGGACATGTTGGAGGCCTATTCTCAACATTCGCCCGCCTTGTTAGCGGAGCGTACGTTTACAGTGCCTGAGACTGAGTCGATCACACGGTCTGTTGATCACAGACAAGGGGATCGCTGTTGTGAGTAAACAATAAGATCACGTCTAACCCACCTGTCAGCCACGAAGACGTCTTGAAGGATTCACTTAAGACAGATACAATACAAGTGTTACCGTGTCTGTGTGGGGTAACGGAGGAAACGTTTAGCTTTGGGTAAAACTACAGGTGTAAACTTCTCGGGACTTTCTTAACTGCAGGTTTCTAAAGTCTGCTGTTTGTCACAACAATTATCCGCCATGACAGTCACGCACGAGGGAACACGGGAAACTTTCACTTTTCTCAGGAACGCTCTCACTTTCAGACAGCGTTTATGCATTTTAAGTTGACGGCGCTCATTTTGCACATGTTTGTGGATGTCCACGTTGGATGCATGAGAAAAGCGCAAAGTTGTTGGTAATTTGTAGAAATAGTTCGTTCTGTGTAATTTGTATCGCATTTGGCAACAAAGCCTTACAGCATTGTTTAGTGTGTTCGGAGTTAACACGGGAGAATCTGTCGCCATGATGACATGATGTAACGATCCTGCTGAACTGACGAAATGGCTGATGACATAATTGATGATTCCGTTAATTGATAATTACACTGAGAGCGATAAAAATGGCGGAAAATAAGTATCAGTCAGTCCTACTGGTTAAATGAGCAGTACTAGAAACATTGGTCAAAATAGGATTGAGGAAACTCAGCATTGACAGTTCCGAGTAATCTTGGGAGGAGACTAGGTTGTGACCGGGCCGCGCGCGCAGCGGGAGTTAGTCACTCATAACTAACACAGATATAACACATAAAGTCATATCTAAGCAGATTTTCCGTGGCAAAATCGGCGATCGGCAAGACAGTATCAAATAGGCAAGACATTATCTAAGTAGCCAATTGGATACTGCCTTGCCTATTGGATACTATTTTGCCTATTACATGCTGTTGTTACTGTCTTGCCAACGTTGCCACCAAAGATCTGCTTGGAGATTACGCATGGGAGGCAAACGCAATATCTGTCATTAGCCAAATCAACAACCAGGAGATACAGCTGTTATACATGTACAGGAGCCAGAGAGAACGACTGGTTGGATGAAGGTCACTGAATGTATGTTTGAAAACAAACATGATTTAATAACATTTCATACCTGATTACCTCTGTAACACTGTTGTTGTGTCAAAAACAGCATTCTTGCACAACTACGCAACTATCAGTTCTAACTCTAACTATTCTTTATAAGTAATAATGAACTGGCATGATAAATAAACTGTATGGACAAATGAATGGAAGTCATAAATGAACGCGAACCGACGCCAACGGATGAATCAGACAAAGAATTAACGAATCAAAGTACAGTCAAACTTGCACAAGTGACCACCTCTACAAACGACCACCTGGCCGTTGTGGCCACTTTTAGATGGTGCCTTAGATGATTTTCCCATTGATTGACACAAGGGTATAAGAATCCTGTCTATAATGACCACATAAGATCATGTTTTATCGGTGGTATTCTTGGTCAAGTTTGGTTGTATGTGTATATGACTGTATGAATAAATCTGTATGATTGTATGAATGAAGGATAGGAAAGAATGAAAGGAAGGAATGGAAACTGAAGGAAAGCCAGCGTCAGTCTTACCTGCGTCTGTGTTCCTCTGCCTCCTTCCTGAGGTTGTTGACCTCTGTCTCGAGCTTGGCCTTGAGGACGGTAATGGCGTCCAGCTCGGTGTGCGCCTCCTCCACCTCCTGCTGCAGCTCCTCCTCCGCGCGGCTCAGCGGCTCGGGACGCCCGCCCAGCGCCCGGATCTTATCCTCCAGGTACGCCTGCCGGTCCTCCAGCTCCTGGATCTTCTCAATGTACCGTGCAGCCTCTTCCCCTCCCTCCTCCAGCCTGGCCAGGTCGCGTGAGGACCGCTTGTAGTCGCGATCTCGGTCACGATCCCGGTCGCGATCATCTTCGCGATCCCGGGGGCGATCTCGATCAGAAGAGAGATCAAGCCCACGACCGAGGTCTCTCCGGTCACTGTCGCTGTATCCTCGGTCTCGGTACGTCCCCGTCCCTCGGTCACGGTCGCGGTAGCCTCGGTCCTCGCTGTACCGCCTGTCGCGATACCCTTGTGCTCGGTCTCGATCCCAGGCCTCGTCCAGTGGAGACTTGGGTCCTCGGGCTCGTTCGAACCGCCTGCGCTCCAGCATACCCTCGGTGACGGACTGGATGCTGTCGCCGCTGGGCCGCCGCTCCCTGCTGTACCCGCCAAAGCTGGTGTCACGGTCCCGGTAGCTCTCACGCTTCATGTCGAACCCGCGCTCGCTCGACGTGGATGGCACGCGTGGCTTCTTAGGCGGGCCGATCCGTACCCCCTTCCAGCTTTCCAGCGAAGCCTGGCTGTCCGTGTCATCCTGCCTGCCGCTATAGCCCGCCTGTAGGGACCGGTAGCTGCCGTACGCCTCCCTCTTAAACACCTTGAACTCCCGGTCGGGGCTCCGCTTCAGGCTGTAGTCCCGCTCCCCCCTCCGCTGGAAGTCTCTGTCGTACCTGCTGGCCGGCAGGTCCCCCGCCACGCTCTGAGGACGGCTAAGCTTCCCCTCCATGCTGTCCTGCACGTTCTGTTTGATGATGTCGATGATTCTCGGCCCTCCTCTGGCATCGGTGTAGGCAGGAGGGCTCCGCTCAGGCTGGCCATACTCCCCACTGAAGCGAAACCTAGACTCATGACGGGTGTCTGGCGGTGTGCCCCTCTCCGACCCACCCCGGGACCCGTACCGTGCCTCGTACCTACCCCCTCCCCGAGAGGACTCGACTCTGTACCCGCGGATCATCTCTGGTCTGAGCCGGTGTCTCTAAACACACATTACCTGGCGCTTGGCTCGGCCACCCAGGTCCGTCTCTAGGTGGCCATGATGTGTGCCTGCCCGATAATTGCCCCGCTTCACGTCACACGTGGGGATGTGCAGTTGTCCCGCCCACAGGAGCTGTCCGGCCGGTTCTCTGTCAGTCCTTAGGAGCCGCACAGACAGGTGTGACGTCACAGATGTGTGCCCTTCGCGTCGTCTGCAAGCTGGGGAAAACAACCTGACCCACGGTGCATGCGTGGCCCCTCGCGTCGTCTGCGCTCCTGTTTATCAAACCTAGGTAAGGGTTCCCGCCAACTCACTTGACGGCCCATCACACATGTCATGAACGCACCTATCAGTCATATTTCAGTAAAAAGTCAGCTGAAATTATTTTTGTAATTATTTTACTTTATTGCATCTGTGACGTCTCAGACCATGTTGAGCGACAGACGTCGTCTGCATGGCTGTCAATCAACGGCGGGAAAACATTGAATGAACCAAATGCAGCAACATATTGTCAGCGGTGTTTTCAACGTCGTCGCCAGTTATGGGCAGAATGGATGAGACAAAGGTTAAAGGTCATCATAACGTCCTCACATTAATCATTTCATCAAGTCGACATGTTTTTGTCTACATCTATTTTTATAGGATCTGTTCTATCGCTACAGAGTAAAAATGACATCAAGAACAAAACACATTCTTGCTTTTGACGTGGATTTTTTTAGTATGTTTTAATTAAGGATTATAATCTAGTATATATGATTGTATTTGCCAAGTCGTACCCAAAGGTTATTTTTAAGGTAACACACAGTATGCAAAGAGGTAAAAAATCCATAGCCTATCTATCTGGTGTTTCTAGAAACGAGTCATTTCTAAGTATAATGACTCTTCCATTCAACCAAATATATTGTTTACAAAAGCTTACAGTTACACAACCGTCCGTGAGGTTCAGAGATTCGCCAGTGGGCACGTAAAGCCTTCACAGGTCCTGAATTTTTAATGCACTGACAATGACAAACGCTCTTACTTTGAACCACGCCCTTAATTTAAATGTAGATCGCGTCTTCCTCTCAGCGGAAGGCTTAAAACCGTCCGCCCGATATGTGAAGAATATTGTAGTGATTAAACCTTTTTATCCTGCTAGTCCGTCCTTTTGTTCTGGGCTTGTCTGACGACGCGGTGACCTTTCAGAAATGTTCGCCTGCGGGGAGCCGTAATTGGCATGAGTCACCGGCTGAGAGGCGTCATGGCCGCCTGCACAAGTTCCCGCCTTTTCTCGGCACACCCTCCCATGTCGGATGTTTGCTCTCACGTGATTATCACGTAAACACCGGCCATGTTGATAGGTTAAAGCCGCGTGTAAAGTCGTTTCAGAAATCAAGAAGATGCTTGCAGAACGCCATGCACGGCTAAATTCGTGCGACATCTTGAACAATGAATGTCAGGGGAGATGGCAATCTGCCTGATTCAAATAGTCTTCCAGTGTCCACAAAAAACTGGGCATGAACCCGTGTTTAAGTAGAATGACACTGTGTAAGATGTCACTTCCTTTTCCGTCCTTACCTCAGCTGGGCACTGGAGGCTTTTTGACGTTTTTAGTCTTTTATTTTCTTGCTTTTCTGCTTTCATTATGACTCCTTCTCTTGTCCCATAAAGCACGTGATTGAATGCTGGTTTACCAGTTAACAAAGAAGTCAGTTGTACGTGCATGCGCAGTTATCTTCCACCAGTACTATGACAACACCTGTGCACAACAGATGGTCTTCAGACAATACATTTACAATTGTCAAAGTGGTCAATGTTTATTGAAATGCATTTCAGGATACATCTTGTGAAAGAAGTATCTAGTTTTATGCACCACCATTTTTGGTTTATTGTACGCCATCACACTAGGACAAGACCTGCACCTCTCGACGTTAACGAGGTATATACGTCGTTATTGTTTCACGCGTGGATTTATCTCCACCCGTGATCTATTGATGTGAGAACAAAGACAGGATCATAAAACACTCGCATGTAACCGCACCAAGTGTTGATTTATGACCAGTTAAATGTCAAGGCCAAAGTCAGACGTGAACACCTGTCACAGTGACGCTAGACGCACACAAAGGTGATGTTTTAGCCCATTATTCCCGCTTTGTGTTCACCCAGGCTAACAGAACGACAACGTTCACAAACGGGACTCACCAAACTATAATGTAAGGAACTGTCTAGGGATGAAGAGGGGTAGGCAATGGAAAAGGTGGTAGTATCACAGAATGTGCAACCACGGCATTAAATGGTTAAATAAACGTTAAAAATAGAAATGTAAAACTCAGAAGGATGAAAAAAACTGATTGTCAGATCTTCTGTGGTGCCCAGAATGAAATTTTAGACTAGATGATAAATGAGATGATAGATGATAGATGTCTAGAGCTAGAAGTTGAAGGGTTAGGTGTAACAAGTCGATCGGTGTAATATAGCCAGCTGCTGCCGCGCCGCGTGCCTGCGAAGCTGGTGTGTTACGCCGAAAGGCGGTTGTACCGGCTATACAGATACAGATACAGATACAGAGATGAGAAACGTCTACGCGAGAGGCACGTCAGCAACGAATCTCTCTCAAACCTTCATACAGTGTACGTAGGAGAAAGCCCGATGTATTGCAGATGGTAATGTGTCCGCCAGAGGGCGCGCGCGGTGTGATCCAGCAGACCGCGGCGGTCACCGCCGGTCACATACCAGTCGTTCCCAGTATCTCTTTAGTACAGAACTAATTAAAAATATATCGTTCTCACGCATATAAACACATACAAGTACGTACGTGGACTGTACGACATAACCCATTTAAAATTTAAACTGATCCGTGAAGTTGAAAAAAAAGAGCAAATTAAAAGAACAAGCTCGGATTCGAACCCGGGTCAAAAATCCCATTAAACATCTAAACCCCTAAACCCGAATCTTCTATGCCACGAAACATCACCGCGCGGACACAGCGCTCTATATTAAACACAATTGTTAAAGTTTACCGTTCAGCGATATGACATAGACCGTTTTAAATGGCAAGGACGGTTTACGAGACGGAAATAAGCTTCGCCGCGAGCCAGCAGGTCTGCCAACACATCCAGCCCGCCTGCAGGTCACATGTTATGTACCTAAGTCATGTAACAAACTAATGATTAACTTGACTCAGCCCGACCTAACAGCGCGTACCGACGCGAACCCGGCACTTCCCCGGCCCGCCCACCGGTCTGCAGTCATGCCGTGGTCAGCTGTTCTCCTGTCGGCCCTGGCCGTCCTTACCAGCGCACAAACCAACTCACCAACCAACAACAACCTGGACGACGCACAGCGCTTCCTCAGTGACTACAACGCGCGTGCGCAGGAGGTGTGGAACGCTTACGTCGTGGCGTCGTGGAACTACGACACCAACCTGACGGAACACAACAACGGCGTCCTGGTACGCATGTGCACCGGGCCACATTTGTCATACAATCATTTTCAGCCATACTATGACAAATCATCTTTTTTAGTCACATGATAGCTGATGTTTTTCGAAACGTCCACGACTATCCTAAGGACGTCCTGGATTTGATGTCGTACGACAAATGTGACCGAGCCATTACGGAGTGTCCCTTGTACTTGTGATATTTCTCCTGTACCCTGGGGTTTAGAAAGTGACTAAGGGCGGGAACGAGTACGCCCCTTCCTGCGTGCCTGCACTTGTTCTGGTCTTGATTAAGATGTTGTATGTCTGCAGTTGTACTTTCTGGCTGGTCCCGTGGCAGGGTACAAGGGCGACGTTAACTGTAACGTGGTTTCACGACATTTACGACTGCAGCCCCCTCCCTCCGCTGAATAGAAGTCAACCTAAAAATGCCGGTGGTAGATTGCCAACAAAAACGATGCTATGTAAACCATCAGTGGTTCACCTGTTTGCCACTTTTGCAAGTATTTACGCCCAGGCGGTGGGTAATCAAGGCATGTAGCCCCCCCCCCTCTCATCAGAGGCTAGGGTCCTCTTCCTTCAAGGATGAGGGTTTGATTGCCAATAAAAACGACGTTATGTAAACTACCATGGGGTTACCTGACCGCGGTGTAAAACACAATGTCGCGAGAAGGGGGCAGAAAGTAACGGAGACAGAATATTAAAAAGGCGAGTAAGTTTCCAGTAAAAAGGCTCCGCGAGGTTTAACTCATCTGGCAAGTTATTTACTTCGCTTGGCCGAATTCTGCTTTATCTCACTCAGCCACGGAAAAGTCTGCCTGTGGCGTGGCAGGAAAAGGGTCAAGGATGTAGGGCGGCTGGATTGGTTTAAGACGTGCTATAAGTTTGGTCAACAATATAACGGATCGAAATGTTTAATGACAACATTCTTGAGCCAGCAAAACTACAAAGGGGGTCTGTATGGGGGTGTAACCTGCATGGGTTGCCTAATTGGGGCCTGCATGGGGGTGTGCCAACAACAACTGGCGCTCGAGGCCTCTGGCATACCACGCTAACGTCAGTAAATATATACGTATACGCAACACTCCACGCTAAATTTTGAAGCTTCCCAATCATTATGCCAAACCACCTACCGGCTGAACGTGAGTGTCATATCTGGAAATTTTAGAAGCTTGAACGTGAAAAAAGCATCTTAATTTAATACTTGAACCTTAAAAGTAGGAGTGATAATGAAGACGTCTAGACTGACAAGGGAAGCCACGTGATGTCACGTACGATTACATTTTGTACTTTCTTCATTAAACCATGTCCAAAACGTTTGTTCACATACTGAGGCACTATTAAACTATGAACTTTACATCTGGCATTACTGCCACAACTTGGTACATGAACCATGTTGCCACAGGACTAGCTTCACCTCGCATCTGGGAGAAATCTCTCTTCGCAACATTTGTCGCAATTGCAGCTTGTGTACTCAGGGTTTAGCAAACAGAAGTGTTGACTGAGTACTGTCGTGATGTCGGGCCAAGTTAAGGTAATGGTTCGTTTATCACGAAGACACGCATCAGTTCTATCAAAGTCAACCAGAGCAGTTTTCACTTTTTTTAGTATTAGAAGACGCTTTAAGATGCACTCTGTCGTCCCACATATCAGAGAAAATAGTCTCAATCTCGTTTATATTGAATACATTCTGCATGCATGTCCATTCACATGTAACAAATGGGTAACGTTGAAAAGACCTTTTTTGAAGTTTGCTTGTTTTTACTTCTCTATTCCTATTTGGAGCTTATACTTAATTTTACTCCCGAAGTTGATTTTTTCCACTGTATGCTAGCTGTCTTAAGCTAAGGTCCCAATTGGGAAAAGGGGCCCTGGCGGGTAGTTCCCGGGCTGTTTTTTACCACTTTCGGGCGGGACCCCGACGTGGCCCCGCGGGGCACCCTGCGGCTACCGGGCTATTTTTCGGCCCGTCGGGGCCCCGATAAGAATTTAATTCTGAGTTAAATTCTACCCGGGCCCCGCTGACAAAAAGACGCCGTGACCTCATCGTGAGAACACCGAGAGGTACCCCTCCGGTTGCCGGCATTCCACCGGGACACATTTCTTACGTCACAGACCAGATGAACAGAATAAAGGTGTGTACTTCGTAAACCCGGGTAAAATGTGTCACCTCATAGATCAAATGATCACAAGAAATACGTGAATTCTGCATTACGTATAGGTCAATACAAGACATCGTCAGAGAATCTGCTGGGTACCTGCCGGGTGCCTGCCGGATACCGACCAAAGAGGGTGACAAAATTTCTAACAAAATGCTACTGAAGGAAACTTTTAATTGTGACCACGACAGCCGATGCCCGCTCGACTCCTGAACCCGGCCGGGGCCAGCCGGGGCTACATCCCCGACGGGCACCGGCGTAATTGGGACCTTAGCTTAAGGAAGAGTTAAAAAATATAATGTAATGAAGTAACCATATTTACACACAGGCGTGGACACACATCAATACGTCACCTATTACTCCGCTGTACCCGTTACAGGTTGTGTTAAACTGGCTTCTGATTGGTCACCTGATGTCAGGCATTGTTCTTCGTGACCTGACATGACCCTGTTCACTTGACCTTTGGCCTAAAGTGTATGTTTACACCGAAGTTACAAGACGGTTGCTACACAAGTACATTTGCGATTGACACAGTTGTACACAAGTAGATTATTATAAGTGCGAATGCTAGCTGATGCAGTGAACAGCAACAACAACAAAATGGACTTAGAAACAGTCGATTTCAATGTTGTAATGAGTTTCCACGGACTTGTTTTGAAATAGGAGTAAGGCGGAATTCACGGCACCTCGAAAGCAATAGGTGTGGAGTACGTCACAGTTTTGACGGATTTAGATAGTATGTGTCTTCAGATTATGAAATGTGTTATCTTCTAAGTTTTAAGACATCTAGATATATAAATATAATGACAAATATCTAGATGCCATTATATCTCCTGGATGCTTAAGATGATTGTATTCATTAACGGTCTTCCTCGTTTTCCCTGCCGCAGCTGGAGAAAAGTCTGGCGCTGACGGAGTTCGAGGCCGAGGCTTACGTCAACAAGACCAGCTTCAACACCACAGGCTTCCCTGATGACGTCATCAGAGAGTTCGACTTTTCTGGGGAGCGCGCCTCAAGAAGGGGACACGGCACGACGGGTCAGTTTCTTTTTCATCTCTCTAGTCTTTTCATTTGCTTAGCTTCAGCTAATTTTTCTCCCCTCTTTCATTTCTCATCGAAGCTCCTCTGTCCCCCTTCCTTCTTCTTCTTCTCTTTGTCGTCT